TTGCTAAGCTTGTTCTAAGTAGGTGCTTTAGACCACTGAGCCATCTCACCAGCCCTTTTAAATGTTTTTGATACACGGTTTCACTATGCAGTTCAGGCTAGACTTGAACACACTTTGTAGCCCAGAATGGCTTCAAACTCACAGTGATCCTCCTGCATCAGACTTCCAAGTAGTGAGATACAGGTGTGTGCCACAATAGCTATACATTTTTACTTTATTATTTTTTTAAAGTTTAATTTTAATTTTTTTTTTCAGAACCGGGGATTGAACTCAGGCCCTTGTGCTTGTCAGGGAAGCGCTTATTGCATTGAGCCATCTCCCTGGCCCCTTAAAAGTTTTATTAAAAAAAATACTTATTTATTTATTTGGTACAGGATCTCACTACACAGCTTAGACTTGTATTGTTCCTGCTTCTTCCTGTCTCAGCCTTCCCAGTGCTGGGATTACAGGCGTGTGTCAATAGGTCTGGTTTTGGTGGCTGGCATGGCATGAGGTACCTACCATTGAACTCAGGTACTTGCACTTGCCAGGCAGTACTTAGACCGCCAAGCTGTCTCCCCAGTCCTATACATTTGTATAGATTAAGATTCTAAAACATCTTACTTTTCAATGAAAAATCTACTGTAATTCTTTTTTGTTTTGTAATTCTTTTTTAAAAATAATTTTACTTATTTGTGTGTGTGTGTGTGTGTGTGTGTGTGTGTGTGTGTGTGTGTGTTTGGCCAGCTCAGCCCACCAGGGGGCGAGTCTGGCTGGCATGTGGTGCTGGGGGATTGAACTGCGGTCCCGTGTTCTAAGTAGGTGCTTTAGACCACTGAGCCATCTCACCAGCCCCTGTTTTGTAATTCTTATCGTCATTTCTCTATGTGATTTTTCTTTTTTCTTGGGCATTGTAAAGTTTTCTTTATCTTTAGTGTTAATTAGCTGGACCGTGATCTTGGTTTTATTGATTCTTACAATTCTCGGAGAGTCTTGTGTCTGTGGTTTTATGTATTTGATTATTTTGGGGAAATTCTAGAGTGTTATCACTTAAAATGTTTCTTATGCCCATATTCTCTGCCTTTTTCCCCCCTTCTGCAACATTAGACAATTGATAGATGTTCCAGTTTCATATCTCCTTAATACTCTGTTCTCCCCCCTCCCCAGGGATTGAACCTTAGCACTAAACTATATCCTTTATGGTTTTTTTTTTTTTTTAATAATTTTGTATTTTGAGACAGGGTCTTTTTTTTTTTTTTT